TATGCCCCAAAGTGTCCTCTACAAGATGATATAGGTTTCATCTGGTTATACCTCGGAATCACCCACCCTCAGAAAACAGCGAGTTAGAGCAGTGATTTTATTCCACTAACCCTTGAACTTTCCTTCTGCTATGATGACAAGGTTGGTCAGTATTCCTAGTAGTTCATCCACCATTAAGCTCCACATCAGGGATGAGCATTCCCCGCCCTGGGGATCGAGTGCCTCGAGTGGTGCTTACCTTAATAGACTCAGTGCTGACTGAAGTATCTGCTGTCATCGTGGCAAGCATCTTACACACCCATCGAGACATTGTGTCGCCTTTTGGTTAGTGCTCTACGAATTGCCACATGGGATGTGTTATCAAAGCCACCAGTGATGTCTAGGAAGGCGCATAATGCGATTTCTTCCCCTTCAAAATTTTTTTGTATCATGCTCGTCAGTTGGAACAGAGCTGTCTCAGTGGACCTGTCTGCTCTGTAAGCGTGCTGATTTGCGTCAAAAGCGAACTTTTCAAGGTAGTAGATCTAATATAGTTATCTACCTACTATCTTTTCCATCGTCTGTCCCATTCTTTTTGTCTGCCTTCGGAATAAAAGTGACCATTCTTCATATCTTAGGTATATATCCCATCGCCATAATGCTTTTGGTTATATTTACAAGGTAATGCATGATCTCTGCTTTTCCTCTTTGAAGGAGTTCTGCAAAGATCTCGTCCACTCCCGGCGCACAGTGATAGAAATTGCAAATCTAGAATTCCAAAAGTCTTAGCTGTATTAATAAATATCTATTTCTGATTTAAAAAAAATATATATAAAAAAAAAATAAAAAAAAGAATAAAAAAAAAATATCTATTTCTGAAAAAAAATAATTTCAGTTGATCTTCTTATGTTCAAGATATAATAATAGGCATATTTTATACATTGGCGCATATACTCTTTAAATAGTAGTGGGGGTAGTACCTAATAATCATATCCGCATAAAATTGGCTTACAGGATATAGGGCTTGTTTACTTTAAACAGGATTCTTAACATTAGGGAGGTTCTAACTAAAAATTTATTTATTAATAGAAGCGACAAGATGCGCAAAAAAAATTATATATATTTTGAAAGACCAACTATTGTAGACCATTATGGGCCGATTGGGTCCGAGTCCTAATGGGTCCCACAAAAGTTCTGCTCCAATTCTTAGAAATATCATATTTTTTATCTTGATTTATTACAATGTTTTTTCTACATGAACTATAAGTTAACTTTTACTTTCACAGCAACCAAAATAGTTGAAAAGTAAAGTACTTACCTCCATTAGATTTCCATTTTAAATAACTTTGTTATAGCGCTTATAAACTCTTGATACTAACTGTTCAAATTCCACGCAAATAAAATAAAATATCGTCTCCGTGCATTAAATAATAAAACAACATATTCAGAACGCCAGCAAAAAATTGTTTATCGTGATAAGGATTTAGATTTTAACTTTTTTTGTTCAGCACACATTTCTAAAGACGTGAGGATCATTTTTCCGCCAATTTGTTGCTACCAAAATGTGGACTTTTGGAATCCTGGATTGGCGATATCCATCACTGTGCGGCGATTTGAGAGGTTCGAATGTATTTATTGTCCATTCAAGCCGCTTATATGAGTACCGTTTCTGCTGTTTCCCAGTTTTCCCTAGTGGGCCGTCTGGAGCTGGGGGTCGCTTTTTTTTCAGTTTTTGTTGGTTTGCTACCTGAGAAGTGTTTGCTCAGAAGAAGGAGCGCTCGCTCCCCTTCCTTTTTGCGCTATTTAAGTTTAAAATTGCATAAGTAAGCCACACCAATGATATAAGGAACCGGAAACAGATCTAATTTAGGGTAATGTTAATGGTTAATGCATTTTTAAGCTGAACCAAATATCAACATATTATATGGTATATTTGGAATCGGAAGAAAAAAATATATCATTCTAGCTAAAAATATACAGGGTGTTCCATTCAAAAAAATACAAGTTGTGTCAGCCACATCTTTTGCGTGCACCCTGTATACATAAAAGTAAAATTATCTAGCGGTTCTCGTGAATCCCTATTTACTTTGTATTTACATTTTTTTGTATTTTGCTTCATAAGCGAGTTATATGCTGTCTAAATATACGGAAAAACCCTGTACCCTGTACTACCCTCTTTTTCCATTGCCTTCTGTAGTCTAGTGGCAACTGGAGTCGAGGTGATGTTTTCACAGAAAAACCAAAAGTTGTTTCTTTTTTATACTTTGTGAGAGCCTGTGTGTAACCCTGCCAATCTCCGGTCCTCCTTGATGCGTTAAAACGAATCTCGGAATCTCCTTAATATGATTTCTGCCCCTACCAAATTTATACAGGTTTTGTGCGATAGGAATACACGAGGTTTTAATTTTTAAATCAACTTCAACAATTGAGAACCTGGCTTCTTATTTAATTGACCTCTTAAATCTCTTTGCCACACCGTTGGTGTGGTGTATCATTGTGTATTCAACATGATTTTTTTTTTTGAATTTTTTCAGCGTTGATATTGAGAATTTATTATTTTTTTTTCGATCCAAGGCAATATTGTTTCTTTTTTGCAAAGTAACAAGCCGCATAATGCGAATAATAAATTACATATAAAAGTTACAAGGTGTTGCTTACCATAATCGGATTTTGGTGCGACCTACTCTCATTTCTATCAGCTAAGTGTCTTTTCTATGGATTCTTTTGTTTCACATTTTTCTTTCTTCGCTGTTTTTCTTCTTCCATTAACAGGTACCAAATTTGAAATTCCTCTTTCTGAGTAAGTTTCTTTGCCTTTTTTCATAATTTCTTTTTCCGAAATATTACTCTTACTCAGTTTCCAGTTACTCAGTTATTGCATAACAACAGACTTTTTCTCGAATTCGGATATTACCTAATTTAGATCTTGAGTTGCTGCTGGGGGATCAGTACTTATCTCTTCGATCTCTCTCAGATTTTGCCATGTATTTCTATTCTGTTCGACCTGGTACCAGTTTAGTCCTGCTGTTCGCTTGATGTCATCGTAACAGCGTTGTTGAGGCCTGCCGATGATTCTCCGTTCCCCCCAGGGTCTCCATCTTCTTACTTTTTTGCTCCAGTTGTGGCTTGTGTTTCTCGCTACGTCGCCGGCTTAATTCTATTTGAGGGTGCATATTCTATGTGACTCGTTGGTCTTGTGATCCCTTAGTAATAGCTATCATTTTCCTTTCGATTGCTCTACTTGCAGCTAATTTAGGATTTTCTTTGTGAGCGTTCATGTTTCGCTTCCATAAGCAACTACTGGCAGAATACATTTGTTGTAGACTTTAGTTTTCAGCTTCAAAGATATCTTCATCATACGCCGCACATCCCAGTGGTATTCTCCTATTAATTTCAAGCTCTTAATTGATTGATTTGCCAAGTGTTATTTCCTGTCCTAGATATTTGTAGGAGTTTGCTTTTTCACCTGTTGGTTTTCTATGGATATTGTGTCCCTATCTGTTTGCGTACCTATCTGGCATAAAGTCTATTTTTGAAACGTTCATTTCTAATCCGATCTTCTTGGCTTCTTGGAGTAATTCTTCAAGGATGATTTCTATGTAGGTTTCTTTATTTGCGAATATTCCGATGTCATCAGCACCTCAATGTCATGGGCGAATCTTCAATTATTAAGGTTTTCTCCAGATATATCGATTCCTCTATTTCCCAATGTAGTTCCTTGAACACATCTTCGAGGACTAGGGTGCACAGCTTAGGTAATATTATATAGTTTTGTCTTACGCCTTTTTTGATCTTCACTTTGTTTCTATCTTCATGCATTCTTAATTTCATTTTTGTTGCTTCTTGAATACTTTTGATTATGTTTATATATGGTGCATTTCTCCATAGTGCTGTAGCTCTTTTTATAGCCTGCTTGTTCTTTAGTATATACGAACCTAATCGTTGTTTTTGTCAGATTTGCTCTTGAGTATTTGTAGATATGGGTCCATTCGTTTGTGTATCACGATTCCAACTCCTCCATTGCTGCTATTATCACACCTTTGTAGAATAGGACGTGATTTGATTTAAGTCTTAGATATTCTTCTCCTCTTCTGCCAGCCCTACTATGTCCCAATTTATTCATTCGAGTTCGAAATTTAGTTCTCCTAACATTTCTTCATTTTTCAAGGCTCTTGCGCTGTATGTTCCGATGTATAGTTGGCAGCCTAGTACACTCCAGGGATTCTTAGCACCCTCTGTTCGGTCGCTGGTCTGTTCGCTGCCGAACTGCTGGAGACTGAGGGCCATTTTCTTTGTCTTTCTGTCATTTGAGAGGGTTCCTGCTATGAAACACCACGTTGGCAAGACTAAAGTTCTCACTCATCAAGAGGTGAGTGAGAACTTCAGCCGCCTCTAACATTAGGAACAGACGCTGTTTGCGGTCGCCTATTCTTGTTGGTTCGCGGGATTTATTCAATTTTCTTCCTACCACCTACCACCCATATCCGGGATGCATTCCCCTATCCACCACCTAGGGTCCTGTCCCTGTCCGCCTCTCTAGGGGTTACAGGCTTCCCCGAGAGATCAGTACTTATGCTACTTCATAATTCTCGAATAGCAATTTCACGCGAAATTCCCAATAATTGATAAAGACTCTAACGTCAAACGGTTCCACACTTGTTACTTGTCGCTTTTAAACCTTTTCACAGTTAACCTGTTAATTCTTTCCTTTATTAACTACCGATACATTACGACTCTGTGCTCATAACCTGTTGAACTAGTGGTGAACGAGTTAAACAATTTCCAAGTTGAAGCACATCCTAAATTTCATTGTTTTTGGTGAAAAATAAGATCATACAAGAAGCACTCCAATACAGTTTTCAACGACTACTTGCTTCCACACACACAGTTTTGCAAACTTACAGACTTGACAGTCGACATACCTATTCAGTTAGCAATAAATGCTGGCAGTAACTACTAGAATCAACAACATTTTGAACTGCGATTTTGAATGTATTCAGGAATATTCATTTTATGTTTAGGTATCAGTCGCCCAGAGGCCAGGGTCACCGTGGTGGTAGCGGTAGAGGACACAGGACCGGCAATAATGGGCATTATAATAATAGAGGCGGATGGTTTCCGCCGCTTCATTCGCAGAGTTTTTGGCAAGGTACCTAAACTTACATTTTTCCAAAACATGTAAATAACCATTGTATTGTCTTCATAGGGGGTAGACCACAACACGACCGATCCCACCACAGCAACAATGGATCGCACCAGGACCAAGTGCTCGGCACTAACCTGCCTGATATTCCCCTGAACGATGCAGGATCTTACCAACAGCAGCCTCAACCACAATACCACGGTCATGGAAGGAAAGGCTCGAACAATAATCACTACCACAACGGCGATGGAAGAAGGTACAGGGGACAACACAAAAACAATAAACCTTCTTAATATAATTTTTTAGCTAACAGGTAGATTATATTTTCTAACAAAAAAAAATTGAGGCCTCCTGGATTAGAGCTTGTTATTTTTTGGCACTCAAAGCGAAATAAAAATTGATATATGTATTGAAAAAGAGCTGATAACAAGTTAATTTTGAGCAATGAAATTTTAATTTTCTATTCTAATTCACGTGATATTTGATCGATCTGTTGCGGACGACTGACCACCAAACGTTTTAAGATATCCTGGACACTGCTATAGCTTCGCTATGATGGGGTAATATTTTAACGTTTTTAGAGGTGCTATCTAATTATTATCAATTTCCATTATTATTAATAATCACTTTTTTCACATTAAATCTCTTATTAGTAAGTAAATCCGTTTGGTGCATTTTTTGCTTTCTGGTGTTAGTGTAGCTCTCCATTAGGCTGCAGTAACTACTGTAAAGTGTATTCAGTGATAACCAAACGATTCAATTACATCTTTTTTTTTTGGATTTAAAAGCTAATAACGTAAGAAATGTTTAGAAACTTGTTTGTCAAATATGTAGATTCAAATAAACCTTGAACATTTTGGGGAAAGTGGAGCAAAGCATCTAGGTACACAGGGTGTACCAGATGAAAAACCTCATTTCAGATTCTCTGAAAAATATCATGGATGGATTTTCCACTTTAAAAAAATATTGCATTATGATATCAAATTGAGAAAATCACGTAACATCACACTAAAATTTTATTAGTCATAAATGTATTAGTAATTTTTCCGATAAGTCACAAAACCCCATCAATGTTTATAATAATATATATTTGTCAAAGAAAGTGCTTTGGATCTAGTTATTTATTGAATGTCTAGGTATCTGTTGTTAGCTTTGGGAAAATAGTCATATTTATTCAATAATTATTGATGTTTTATCTATCATAATCGACATGTGTACCTTAATAGTTGACTTTTTGCTACATATACGTACAGAAAATAGCCTTCCTATCTTTTTTGTAGTTGCTGTAGCAAAAATTTGCCCAAATAAATACATTTTTATCATCTTAAAGAAATTCTATAGATATTATAAAAAATATTGCATATTTATTGTGTAACTTTGACGGTGTGATAGACGATACTCAAACCAAATGTAGTATTGCGAAGAATGTAGAAGATGCCGCTCCTTACTCTTGAATAATTATACAAATTGTTAATCTGATAAATTATTACGGTTTGTTCCAGTAATATGCAGAATCAGAAATAATTTTGAGCCATGTCTTGACAAAAATGCGAAAGTTGGGCAAATTCTTGAGATCATTTGGAATGTAAAACGTCTGTGCCTTTGAAATGGTATTTCACCTACTGATGTTCGGCCTAGAACTGCGGTATTGGAGAGTTTTTACTTTTCAGCATCCTAGTTCTGTCCATTTTTATGGTTATTCCTGAGCATGCGTAGTAATGAAATGACAGCCCCTTTCACTGACCCAGTCATCCGATACCCATATCTATCAAAATTGCTAAATGCTAGTATTACTCTCTACTGTCTGTTCTCGAAGGAGATGCAGCCAACCAAATTTTAACTAACATGTAAATTGGAACCTTTGAAAAGGAAGAGTAGGTAATCTAATTGGTTAAAATCAGTGCGTTTCTACCATTTCCGGAACTCAGCAATCTAGCGTTATTTTTTGAAAGTCGGGCGTTGAAGACGGACAATCAAGTTTTATATAAGATTAACACATTTGCCTTTTCTTTTGAAATTATCCGAATGTTAATTGCTCCACTTTTTAGACTTTGAAAAATAGTTCTGGTTAGCTTCAAATATCGTGACCCCGGAGGCCAAGGGTGAAGTACAGAGATTATTTCGCCGAATCGATTTCGAGGAATCTTGTCGTTCAAAAATTATCTCATATGTTACGAACAGTGTGGCGGCGCTTAATTTTGCTGAAATGAAAAGTTAAGTCTTGCTATGCTACTGCAAATGAAGAAAAAGTCAATCACCTCATATCAGAAGGTAGGTATAGGTTTCTGGTGACAGTATTCGCTGCGAATTTTTTTTTTCTAAATAGTTTGGTAAGAAACTCCAATCTCTAAGATTGCTTTTGCCCAGACTGTTAAGGTGTTTCGACGCTTTTCGTCAAACAAGCATCCGTTCTCTTGAAAACTAGGAAATCAGTGAGATCTGTTGCAGTGTTAATTTTTCTACGAAAATCACCCTGCATAGATGTTGTTGATTCTTACTTTTAAAACTGGAAAAACACTAATCGCTTGTGCTGACTCGCCATCTTCGCCATACCGAGATATCTTGGCAGCCAAACGAAACTTGACCACTTCGCCTTTTGATACGTAGGCGGTTTATTAAAATACAATTGGATGTTTTGCAGCTTTGGCTTGGAAATCAGGCAAACAGCTCAAAGAATCTTGATGCCATTCATAATTATGAAGGCGTCATCTACGGATTTAGTATTTGAGATTCCACAGAGCTTGTTCGGATAGTTCGTGATTACTGGACTTCTCATGAAACTACCGACTATGAGTTGTTGACAACGTAACCGGCCACTAAGGGAGATTTCTGAAGAAACATAACACCAAGAATTTATAGGTCAAGAAAAATTAGAAAAACAGATCCAAGAAATTCAAGAACTGTCCTAGAGTATAACATATATGTGACTTGTAAATCGACTAATCAAAATAAGCACATAAGAAAGAAACAGTACCTACCTATATTAGGATTTGCGAAACACACGTCTTGGAGACAGCTTCATTCTGCATAAGAAAGTAAAAGAAATAGCTGGACTACAACAAAAAGCCAACAAACGCCATTAGAGATTAGCACAACGAGATAAGCACAGACCCCGAAGAACTATTGGAAACATGGAAGAGATTTACAACCAACCTTTTCGAAGTCAACAGACCAGAAATTCCACCAGTCAAACTAATATCGTTCACTATCGGGACCAAAAATTTCAGAAAGCGAAATCCTTTATGAGGAATGGAAATAATATTCAGCTTTCTTGAACTAATTATTAAATTTAAAAATCAAATAGCCAACGTTTCGATTCGATAAATTTAATAAATTAGTCCAAGAAAGCTGAATATTATTTCCATTCCTCATAACCATATTCGTGGGCGTGATACTTTTTCGACTGAAATCCTTTATGTTATGAAAAAAATGCAAAGCAACAAAGCTCCGGTAACTGATGGTCTGTATCCAGAGATAAGTCTCTTGATCAACGAACAGAATATAAAATAATAGTGCAGCTCTTTAGCAACATATATGACACTGGAAATTTTCCCGAGGACTGGGTCCGCTCTACTTTTATTATACTACCAAAATCAGATAGCCCATCAGAAGCATGCAAAGATTAACGTCTCATGAGCCACTTTCTGGAGCTCTTTCTCAAAATTCTACACGCAAGACTCTACAAAGAGTGCGAAGAGTTTAGCAGAACTAGTCAGTTTGGGTTTAAGAGCGTTATGGAACTAAAGAATTTTCAGTCTGCAGACTTTGGTGCAAAATTGTCAAGATGAAAAAAAGAATGTTTTTATATACTTTATTGACTACGAGAAAGCATTTGACATTGTTAGACATAATCTATTGATATCATGTCTTGGGGCACTAGGACTAGATGATAAGGACATAAGGCTTATTGGTGATCTTTAGTGGAATCAAAAAGCGGAAGTTCGGTTAGACAACTCAACAACACAAGACCAATTTGAAATGAAAAAAGGTGTTAGACAAGGATGTATCTTGTCTCCAATGCTGTTCAATCCATGTGCAGAAATAGCGTTTAAACCACTGGACAGCCCCATAGGCAATCTACCCTATGAATAAAAAAGGCATTTGCTTTTTCTCGCAAAATCTGAAGCAAATGCTTCATCCAGTATAAATAAAAATTCAAGGAAAACCCTATACTTGAAAGTAGGAAGCAAATGCTCCAGGAAAAAGCAAATACTCTTTTTCTTATGAATAAAAGAGAGTATTTGCTTCAAATTGGGAGCATTTACTCCTAGCAAAATGCAACTGCTCCAGAGCAGATGTATGTTTGCTATTTTGGAGAATTCCCCATTTTTTTGTAGATCGTAGATTGCATTAGGACTCGTTATAGCTTGTTCCAGCCGCTCTAGTGTCCAAGATCTTCCTGGGTGATGAAGTGCCCACCTCTTGGGGTGTTAGCAAGGTATTTCAGCCTTTTGCAGGAGTGATCAGGGCATTCACAGATTAAGTGTTCTGTAGTTTTTGTTGCTTGTTCGCAATATCTGCAGTAATCGTTGTTTGATTTTAGGTGATTTCACCAGACAATGCCCAGTGAGCAGTCAACCAACGACTATTCTAATGTCTCTTCTGTTCACTGTCAAGAAGTTGTTCAGATCTCAGATATGAACCTTTTTCATATGTTGATTTCTTCGGAGACGTGGCTTTTCATTATACACAAAAAGGCTTTGGGCCTTGAAAAGGTGTTAAAGCGCCTTGCTTCGTGGGACGGTCCGCCTCTTCGTTGCTGTTTTTACTTTATCCCTACCAGCCAGTTGTTTAAGGATATTTGTACCCTCCCAAACTAGCTGAAAATTACGCTTGATTGCTCCTAGAGCCTTAAGAGCCGCTTGACTGTCGGACAGTACCTATGTGAATGTGCTCTCTTAAAATGCCCCTTTTAAGACAATCTTGGCGTTCTTTTACAACCACTTCCTATGGAATGTCAAAAGACGCCGACACCGCAATATTAGCACACAATGCAGAAGATCTTCAGACATTACTGAATCAGATTAATGGAGCAGGCAAGGCACTGGGCTTCAAAATTAACACTGGTAAAATGAAGTTGATGATTGTGAGTAGAGAAGATATCTTTGGCTTAAAACAAAAACCATTTATGTTCAATTGTTCTCTTAGTGGCATCACCCGTCCAGAAACTTTTGCAGATCTCGGGGTGATATTTGTTAAGGAACTGACGTGTAACTGCCACATTGATCGAACTGTTACGCGGCTGACAAGACATATGGATTCATAGTCCGATATTGTATATGATCTTTGTGCGATCCAAACTGGAATATGCTTCTGTAGTCTGGTCTCCTTATCATCAGCGTCATATTGACCGTATTGCTGTGCAGAGACGATTTCTGAAGTTATTAAGCTTCAAGATTGATGGAACTAACCTCGAACTCACCTACAATTGGGAATACCAAATTCTGATCTTTTGCAAAGACATAATTATTTTTCGCTGAGATTAACACGATCATGCAATAGTGTCATTTATACTTACAAAATTTTGAATAACTCAATAGATTTTCCAAGTATACTCAGTAAAATTAACATAATAAGGGTTCCAAGAGATAATTCCAGAGTCTTAGATTTGCTTCACGCCTATCGAACAGTCACTATGGTTAACTCTCCGTTATGCACCATGCTTGCAGCGATAAACTCTGTAGGACTAAATATTGACATATTTTCTTGTAAATTTAAAGACATAAAATCTCATTTTTATAGTAGTGTTGTATTGCAAAATGTTAATGATATTCAGGACTATAATTAGAATATAATACCTACATAAGTCGGATTAAACATAAGTCAGATTGTTCCTACTCTGTAGTCGGGTTTTACCTGTAGAGTATTGTATTAATTAAATAAATAAATACATTAAAAAATAAATCTTAAATACCCAAAAATAGATGGAAAAAATATTGAACAGGTTACAAACTTCAAATATTTAGGATGCATGCTGAATGAAAGATGGGATCCGGAGAAAGAAATAAGATGTAGGATAGATAGAACAGGCAAGATCGACCTTCCTAAGACTTCGAAAATTTCTCATAGACAGAAACTTGAGCTTTAAACTCAGATACAGAATGTTAAAATGTTATGTCTGATCGGTCCTACTAATTTGAGTAGAGACATTGATATCACATGACAAATGAACAGGTCATCCGAAGAGCTAAACTCTTAGAACTCTTCGGAACCATAGATCAGAGAAAAATATCTTATCTGGGACACATAATACGCGGAGAACGTTATTGCTTCAAGCGCCTTTTCCTTCGAGGCAAAACTGAAGGAGGTAGGAGGGGGGGGATAGGAAGAAAGAAGCTATCCTGGCTACGGAATGTACGGCAGTGGGCAGGAAAACAGGACTTCCAGAAACTACAAACCGCTGCATTTAATAGAAATATTTGATAGGAAAAAAGATGGATGCCTACGTTGGAATCTGTATGATACTTCAAGAAGAAGAAGAAGAAACACATCTTCACTCATAAAATTAAAAGAAACACAGGTGAGCAGTTGAAATTTTAAAACACTCAAATAAATTCAATTTTAAGGACAATCGTTTCAACTTCAGCTTGTCGGGTTCCGGAAATGATAGATTTCGGTTCAGTTATAATTATTCCTAGTACTTTGACCGCATACACATTGCCCAGCGCAATTAGCAAAGAGTCAGTTGAAAATCATTGGACCATAAATTAAAACCATCGTTGATAATCAAATTAGAAAGCAAAGGTACAATGTAGGATCCTTGGGGAAACCTAGGTGGGATCAGAATTTCTGAAGTCATAATATTTGTCACTCGAATCCACTGATGGCGATCTCTCAAGTTGGTTGGTTGGTTGCTTGAGATGCAGAGTGATCAGGCCGGGTAAGGTGGCCCCAAACTACAGCTGTCGGTTTATTGTATTGTCCTGTGAAAAGTTTCGTGACCTTGATTACGTTTAGGAGCCTCTTCACCGTGTTACTTTTGGTGAGTTTAGAGATAGGGTCTTTGGAGCCGTCAGTAAACCAGACAATTTCTTGTTTAGGTGTTGCCCCGGTATTTCCTACTGTGACAATCTCGATGGCGAAGGGTGTTTCAAGGGATTTTTTCCGCATCACATAGTCGCTACCCATGGTTAAAATCGGGTTTGTGATTATTTTGGTGATTGCCGCATGTCCATTTGGTTTTGAGTTCCAGGTTTCGTTCAGCTGGAGACGATATGCCTCGAATCTAGCCTCCGCTTTGACGATAAGGTCAATTGGTGGGCGGTTTAGGATCGTTTCCATACTTGCCGTTGGTGTGCTTCTCTGTGCACCGATAATACAAAGACATGCAAATCTCTGGATTTTGGCTAGCTCCAGGTTTGCTTGTCCTTGGTTTACTTTAGGCCACCATACAAGTGCAACACATAATATCATTGGCCTTACAACCGTAATGTATATCCAGTGTACAACTGACAGTTTTAGTCCCCATGTCTTCCCAATCGCTCTTTTCAGTGACATCAACGTCATCTTGCTTTTGGTGGTTATCTTTTGGATGTGTTGGTTCTATGTCATCTTCATATTTAGGACGACGCCTAGAAATTTAGCTTCCCAGCCAAACTCCAAGGTTTTTTGTGAATAGACTGGGGGCGATTATGTCCTCCAGATTTCTTTTTCACGTGAAAGGAATGGGTTTTGTCTTGGAGGGGTCGACGCAAAGTTGCTCCCTCGTGCACCATCCCTCAATGATTCCTAAGGCGTCCTGCATGAGGTTTCATACTGTCCTGGTAAATCCTCCCCTAATGACAACGACTATGTCAACCATGTAGCCTAGGGTGAAGTAGCCTTTAGTTTTTACAGAAGTTCATCCACGACTAGATTCCACAAAAGTGGTGAAAGTACTCCGCCCTGTGGGTATCCTTTTGTCGCGGTTACTTCAATAGAGGTTTCAGCAATAGTTGACTTTATCTGCATGTGGATTCATTAGTCGCATGTTGCCCAGTAGCTCTGACTATGCAGTTGAAGGACCTGTGGTTAAAGGTTCCTTCTATGTCAAGGAATGCCACTAGTGCGATTTCCTTGTTTTCTAGCGAGTTCTCTACTCTTGTCACCAGTTGGTGTAGAGCTGATTCGCTGGTTTAACTGGTTGAAAGGCATGTTTGTTTTGGTGAACTGGCCTCTGTTTCAGTAAGGTTTCCCTGATGTGCTATTCAACTAATTAATCACCTTTAACATAAAGGACGATAAGCTGATCGGTCTGTATGACCTGGCCTGAGATGGGTCTCTGCCAGGTTTTGGGATAAAGACCGCTTTCACTTTTCTTCAGGACCCAGGAATATTTCCTGTTGCCAGGCTAACTCTGCAAAGCCTGCAGAGGTGTGGTGCTATAAGGTACACTGCCTCTTGTAGGAGTGCTGGTATATTATTTCATCTGCTCCCAGTGATTTGAAGCTCCCAAATGAGCCTATTGCCCATTTTATGCCATCTTAAGCGGAATGGCTTGATGGGTTTCTGCTATCAGGGTTCACTTCGGTGGAGTCTGGAAAATTGGTTTGAAGAAGTAAACTTAATGTTTCTTTCCCATTTTTTGTGATTTTCCCGTCAGGTTTTTTAATGGTTCCTGTCGGTTCTATCGGACTCTTGGCTAGAATTTTCTGGAAATGGGCTCTTTCGGAAGTGTTTTCAACTTTGCTGCAGAAATTCTTCCAGGATTCTATTTTTGCTATCCGGATTTATTTGTTGTATTGCGTTAGGGTTTGCTGATATGCTTCCCAGTTTCCGGTTTTCTTTGCTTCATCATTTCAAGGTTGGCATTCCACCACTTTTGTTTGCTGGTGTTTTGCTCCGATTCTTGGCAGTTTTCATGATATGAGGTTTGGATGGCTTCCTGCAATTGCAGGCATACCTCCTTCATATCTGTTCTTATTTTAATTACCGTTTTAATGTTAGTCAGGTTCAGTCTAAGGTCCTGTCGGTATTTTCCCCAGTCAGTATTACGAGGGTTGCGATATACACGCTCTGGTTTATCAATATGTTTGATTTCCATTTGAATATACCTATGATCCGAAAGACTCGGTTCATCATCTACCCTCCAGTTATATATTTGAGAGCTTATTCCGAGAGACGCCAGAGTTACATCAATACGTTCTTGCCTATTTTTTGTTAGAAAAGTAGGTTTAGTTCCCCGATTCAGAATGTCTAGGTTATTAGAGATAGTGGAGTCAAGTAAGTACTCATCGCGTTGGCTTATGTCGCTACTATTTCATGCGGTGTGATGGGCGTTGGCATCTGCTCCAATGAGAATATGTAGGTTATTTAGCCCGCAGTATTGCACTAATCTCTCCAGTTCTGCAGATGGAGGTGGATTAAGGGAGTCATATGGTAAGTACATAAAAGTTTTAATGAGCACCTTAGTGTTCCCTGCTTCTTGGTAGTCAAGCTTTATTACTGCCATGTCCCTAAAGCAAAAAGTTGTCATTTTTATTGCATTAATATTGTTGTTTGCAATAATGCAGTTTCTTACATTCCCTGCGTTTGAGTTACAGATTAACTTACCTCCGATGTTCCCTAGACCCATGACTGTTCCCTGACGTCCAGGGTTCTTGGATCAGAGCCACGTCAATGTCCCCTGCCACGAAGGTTTTGCAGAAGGCAACAGTTGCAGCCTTCTTATGATGCAAATTTATCTGAAGGACCCGGCATTTTTTTGAATCGAGGATCATGAAGGTAAAGCTTAAAGTCTTTCTTGGTTAGCACCTTCAGAGAGTTCTCGTCTATTCCCACAACGAGAATGGAGCCTTTTGGTTCTACCTTGATGTTGAACACCTTCCAGTCATCCGCGTCTATTCCCTCGTTTTGGATTTTTAGACAACGGAGTGTTCTTGTCGGGTCGTCAGCATCAAAATGTTCTTTGGGTATCCACACCGATATCCTTTCTCTGGGAGTTTCATCCTTGGATGGTAGTACCCTCAGGTTTGCCCCTTCCCAGGGTTTTAGTTTTGGGGTTACCATTTTTAGCCATTCCGCAGCCTCATTGTCTGCGCAATGGAAGTCAACCATGCCATGTTCTGCTTGGCTATGGTTGAACTTGGGCCCTTTTCCAGGTTGGCACTTCCAGATTTCCTGGACGATAGCTTCCTGTAGCTTTTTCCCTTGCTCTGCTGTCATCTTAGTTTCAGGATAGGTACTTGTGATGACAGCCATCTCGATTGCTGACACGACCTTGCTATAACTGGCCCCAGTTGGTTTACTAGGTTTTTGCAGCTTGATTGTGTTTCGCAATCTTTTGAGGGTTTTGTGAGGGTGATGGTGTTGATCCCTTTGAGCGAATTCTCTTAATCTCCTTTTGCTGCTGGTTCTCAGTAGCTGTTGGAGTTTGTTGTGCTCCAGCGTTATCAGCGCCTGAAGTGCCTCGTCCCTGTTTAGGAGTTTGCGGTTTCCTGTTTGCTCGTGATTTACGAGGTTATAATAGGTTCCCCTTTGGCTTCGGCCCGTTCGATAGCTTTCTGGCGTTTCTGGGCGCCAGAGAGTTTGGCCTTGTTCATCTTTAATCTGTTGATTTGAGACCCAAGGTTCTTTATAGGCTTATCACTTTCCTCGGTTTTGCTGCTTTCAGCTTTCCGATCCGATGGTGAAACCCTTTCTTCCGCAAACTTGTGCTGGCTTCCAGTGATCTTGTGGTAGTTTGGTCTGTTGGACTTTCCACCGACTTTGTTTCAAGAGATGGTTTGGTTGAGGCTGAACCACTCGGATTTTCCTACAGCTTCATCTCTTGGTCTTTTTGTTTGTTTCTTTTTTTTATTTGTGTTTCCATAATATGTCCTACGAGTGAGGGGGAAAGGGTAGTCAGGCTCTGGGGTGCCCCCTGCACAGAGCTAAGGCTGTTTACTCCGGGGTGACGCCTGGTTTCCTAGAGGCTCCGTTTGCGACGCTGCTTTCCAACCGCCATGCACCCATCGACACGGGTCGCTTGACATTTTGGATTGGCTGAGATATTTCTGGGACCCGAGTGGCGGTTCCTAGGGGTTCGCAATGGCTTTCCCTGAGAACCGCCAGACGGGAGCTCCTTGACCGCGGCAAGGTCTTGCATCCCCCACGAGGGGTATCTCTCAAGTAACCCTTAATCCATTGTTTTATTTATTATTATATTTCAATGATTTTCCATAAGGAATTTTTGGGAAGCTTTTTTTTTTGGAATTTTAGTTTAGAAAAAGTTCCATAAAAATAAAAACCAACTGGCCTTTCAGACAAATCATATCTAAGATATTAAAGCACCATAAACTTCATTTATTATGTAGGTCAATGATTAGTGTTAATTTGCTGCCCATTAAATCTGATTTGGCTCCAAATTATTTCCGATTCCTTATTGGAACAAACCTATTTTAAATGGAAGGATATCTACCTATTTACCTAGTCTAGCTGTGATTGCACTTTTCCGTATTTATTTATAGTTTTTTATATTCATCATCATTAAAAGCATATTTATTATTATTCAAATATTTAATACAAACTATTGTGATTTAGTTAAATAAAGATGTATAATAAGTATACCTAGTGTTTTTATTTCCATTTTATCACAAAATGTTGGGGTTTCCATACAAATCTTTATTGTACCGTCTACGGCTTTTATCTTTATCTTAAAAAAATGCAGAAGTTATCACATTATGGCACAAATAATTCAATAAGCTAGTTGATATGGAGTGAAAAATAGAGACAGGTCATTCAGTTCAAAGATACCGAAAGCATAGACAACTGGACCAGGTTCCAATAATTAAAACTTGACCCACAAACTAATAATTTTATTCAAGGGCTTCAAATTTATTAATTTATCATTGTAACCATAAATCTAGAAATTTTTCACGCATAATTTATTAGCGCACCTTGTAACAATTCGCTTGCATTGTAATTTAAATAAAAATAGAACTTGGATTATGATTATATAGGTTTATCCAATACATATCTTAAGCGTTTTAGATTTGATTTAAATAATTTATTGAGTACCCCGTTTACTAGACCGCGAGATCTTTGTTATTGCTTTTAAGTGAACGGGAAAATGCGCGTACAAATAATTAGAGTATTTTCATAAGTTGGCTTAGGTTAATGTGTACAGTGTAATCGGTAGAAATGAAGCTACCATCGTTCCCGGATAGTTTTTTTACTTATTTTTCTGCTGTAGCAGGTAAGATCAAATTATTTTCAGCTTGTAGATATTTGATATTTTAAATTAAATGACAGTAACTATACTCAACCTGCACCACACAATAATTGATATTGGTTATCACTTTTTAACTAATAACAACTCGATTAAGCTTTGATATATTTCAGTGAATCTTCTTACTTATGGAGGAGGGATGGCTTATGGCTGGTCATCTCCAGCTTTACCAAAACTCAATGGTCAAGTTGATCCAGAGCATAATCCGTTATCTCAGCCTATAACCGTCCGAGAAGAATCATGGATAGCATCTCTATTAAGGTGAGAATTTTTATTTCTTTTTATGAACCAATTTATTTTCATATTATGGAACTTTACCGTATATGTTTTTATCTCTTGTCTTAACGCAGACAATTTCTAAGAAGTAACCAAAGTTTTTCAATAGATTGCAGATTGCATATTTTGCACAAGATAGGAAATATGACCCAAAATTAACTGTTTCTTCTTACTTTTGAACAGCATGAAATAAAAGGATAAACGATAGACTTTTCCAGTAGGTACTTACTCGTTTCATAAACGCCTTGTTTATTGTTTACATTGGAAATGTCAGACTTACAATACATGTCTATCTAATAATAATTCTTCAGCGTGTTGGGTAAGTTAATCTCTATTTGGATTTTATTTACGCCTGATCTGAAAAATTAACGAAGTGCGAGTAGCATAAATCTAACATGACACGATCAGTGACAGCAATAATTGGAAAATTAAAATTGACAACATACTACTCGCACCCTATCTATTTATTGTTTAAATCAGGCGTCGAAGAAATCCGAATGGATTATAGGTGCAATAGTGGAATCTATTAAAGCATGCGGTGACCTAGTTGCAGTGTAATTTAATTATGTTCTACTTTTTACAGATTCGTCAAAAATATAGTTATAAAACCGAGCAGAAAACTGTGAATTAATCGGCATTTCCTGTCATTATCTCATTATCCAATTGGCTAAATTAAAATTTCTTAACTTAAGTCTTTCGTTATTAGATTCTTTATTCGTTTTAGGCCCGGTTTATTCATCTTCAGATAAACTTGCTGGTGACTATTTGCAAGATAAATTTATCGTTTTATAATTCTTTTGGTTGGCGGATAACTGGCCGTTCAATGGGATCACAGATCGCGTTTTTATCCGTCAGATTGCATACCTGACAGTTTATCAGTAGGTGAAGAAACCGGCCCTTAGTGTGGAAAAACTGTATTCTATGGATGCACTAGTACCAAGAACTCGCTTAAGTTTATCACCTTATAATACTTTTCCAGAAAATCAAAAGTGTATTTTTGATGGAATCTTGAAAACCAACTTTACATTATTTATTATTATTATTATTATTATTATTATTATTAAAACACAATAGTGAGCACTTTACACTGATAAAACTATTAAATTTCTGTATATTTTGACAGCATATAGCTCCCTAATGAAGCAAGATAGAAGAAAAATTACATACAAAGTACATAGGGATTTACGAGAACCGCGCTAGAAAATATAAGTTTCCTGTATACAGGGTGCACGCAAAAGATGTGGCTGACACAATTTGTATTTTTCTTAAATGACACACCCTGTATATTTTTGAATAATCGAATAGACATTCTTTTCCTGATTTTTAAGAAATTTGCGTTTAAAAATGGATTTATTTGTTTTACCAAATCGCAGTTGCCCAGAAACAAAATATTTGTCTGCATGTCATTAAGGAATAAGTAATATTCATACTGGTGGAATCTTGCTGCCCAACTCTGTAAACCTTCTAATATTTCATTATCCTTCATGCTGAGTGGGAATATTTTAGTTTTGGACGAAGGATAAAGTTTCATAACGGTCACACGTCTGTTCAAAAGCTTTTTGCACAAGTTGAATAGACGAGTTAAATTTTTTGGGTATTTTCGTTACATGCTTCTCCCCAGTTGGGCATCCAGGTTTTTTTGGTTGGGGGGGTTTTCATGATGATGATATAAATGGTAAGTTTGTAGATACCAAAATATTTAAAAAAAATGTTTTTACCGGGATATTCTTTGCATCATTGCTAAATTTCGGGGAGAAGGTTTCAACCCCAAAAGCCCCCCTTGGGTGCGTCACTATGCACAAGTGATTTTTGCAAGTATTTATCAATTTTGCATGCATTAACGTGAAAAAAAACTTCCAAATTCATTTTGAAGCTTCAAATCAACTTAAAATTAACTTGTCCACAAAGAGGAAAGTTTCAAGTCACTGTGATCACAAGTGAGTTTTGCAGATTTTTATCATTTTTGCATGCATTAACTTAAAAGAAACCTTCCAAATTTAGTTTGCAGCTTCAAATTGACTTTTCCACGAAGTTTCAAGTCACTGTGATCATTGGAAGTGATTTTTGCAGATTTTAATAATTTTTGCATGCATTCACGTAAGAAAAAGCTTCCAAATATAGTTTGAAGTTTCATATCAACTTCAAATGAACTTTTTCGCAAAGAGGAAACTTCAATTCATGAATCCTGGAAGTTTCAAGGCACTGTAGTCATCAGAATTACTTTGCACAAGTGATTTTTGCAGTTTTTAATCATTTTTGCATGCATTAACGTAAGAAAAAGCTTTCAAATTTAGTTTGGAGCTTCAAATCTATTTTAAATCACCTTTTACACAAATAGGAAACTTCAGTTCATAAATTCTGAGAGTTTCAAGTCACTGTGATTATTAGAAGTATGAGTAGAAGTACTTTGCACAACCCCAAAACCCCTCCCCTTGGGTGTGCCACAGCATCTCCCGTTTTAGATTCTACGTTACTGAGACGCCCAAATCCATGTGATCTTTCAAGTGCTTTAGATCAACACTGTTTAATTTGTGGGCATATTCGGCTGTGTTGAATTGTAAATTTTTCTTCACTTTCCAGGAATTTGACTACACTTTTATAAGTCTAAGATTGCAATTTCTTGGATTATGCAGCCTTTGCATACAATTTGGTGTCGTCGGCAAATTTTGGTTTGAATATTTCATGTCATATCGCTGACATATACTAGAAAAAAAGTAGACCCTACGGCACTCTACTCAGAATTTTTTTTTCTGTTTGAAAATGTTGTATGTATGTATTTATTCTTACTTGATGTTAGTACCGATAAATGATACAAATTGTAGTAACTTACCAGCAACGTTGGAATGATGTATTTTATGTAGGTTAGGTTAGATTAGGTCAAAAATTAGTGGGCCCATCATACGGCCCTCCACCGCGACTCATTGGTCTATCGTGGCTTATGTCCATTTATATTTCTCCAACCATGCCTATTTTCCCAATGAAGTTCAGGATAGAGAGATGTTGTTCAGGGCCCGGATTCCGAACCCACGACTCGATAGTATCGTCAGTTTAAATATAGATAGAAGATACTATCGAATCGTGGGTTCGGAATCCGGGCCGAGGTCTCCTAGTGGGATCGTTGCCCCACCTAAAATACGATGCCTCAGTATGCCACCAGGCGGACATTCGCGAGAAATGCGTGCAGCTGTCTCCTTATCCTCACCATCATCTGTCAGTCCAATCCTATGCATGTGGTGTTTTAGCCTACACTGTCCAGTGTATAAGCCGAATAGGGTTTTCAGCTCAGTTCTACCAAGCTCCAGCATCTTTCCAATAGTTCCAACCGAGCGTTGTTTCACGGGTTGTCTTATGATTGCATTACTTGTGTCATGCCTGGCAGGTTTAACCAATGTTCCTAGGCTTTGTTATCCGTCCAGGTTTTAATGGTCTGATTTGCCAAGTTATGGGCAATGCCTAGCACTGTCTCTGGCCCTGTGAGGTTGGTTTCTGCTTTCCCTCTGGTAAGGATATCCGCCATTTCATTGCCCTCAAGGCCAGCGTGTCTTGCTATCCACATTAGGATTACCTTGCTTCTTCCCTAATTTGCTTAGAGCTTCCTGACACCTCCAAAGTGTCTTGAATTGCAGTAGGTGGAGCTAAGCATCTTGAGAACGGCTTGGCTGTCAGAACAGATTTTTATCGTTTTATGAGTTTGGGGTCGATTCTGCAGCCTCCTCACACCCATTTCAATGGCATGCACTTCCGCTTGAAAGGTTGCATTGTTCCCTAGACTGATGGATAACCTAGTTTTTGGTTTTGCTCCATAAACGCCCGCTCCCAACCACTGTGTGTCTTCGATCCATCCGTAAAAGACATAGATCTGCTTTTACTTTTTATTAGGGCATGCTCATACTGCACCCGCTTTTCCTTTCCTGGGAATGCCACTCTGTAGGGTACGTAGGCATTCCGAAACCGCTGTGTGTTTTGATAAACTCCAGCAGTTTGGTGCCTTTCATATTCTCTTTGTTAGCTACTCGTTCTCTGTTCGTGTGGTATATTCTGAGGGCCTCCCTTTCCAAATAGATATGTAAAGAGGGAAGAAGTTCCATGGCTGCTGTTGATATAGTGCTGAAAGCTCCTGCTATAGCCAAACAGGCCTCTCTTTCTCGTCCATTGAGCTTGGTTTGGACGGTGCGCTGCTGCCATTTTTCTCACCAGACTACTGAGCCATCTGTTATCATTGGTCTGAGGACCATGATATAATAACCAATATATTTGCTTGGGCCGAATTCCCCATGATTTACCACAGATCTTGTGGATTAGCTAGTTTTCTGTTGGATTATGGCCAGCAGGTTGTCCAGCAAGAGAGACTGCACAGAAGAGGAGAGAGAACTTCTCCCTGAGGGCAGCCCGTGGCAGCCCTAAACTGTACTAATCTCCCCCTGTAGGGTCGTCGTTCTATACCTGTTCTCAAATATCTTGTGAATCCAGTCACAGATAAGAGGCCCAATTCCTCTGGAAATAGCCCATTCATAGGAGAAGTTATTAAAGGTGTTGTTGAAGGCTATTCCTCTATGTCGATGAACGCTGCTAGCGCAATCTCCTTGCTGTCAAGGGACTGGCTGATTTTTGTGAGCAATCTCTGAATTAACACATTTGAAACATTTTTTGATTATGATGCATTCGTTATAAAAATACCGCAAAATATGTGTGTATAAGAGCATTTGTGACTTACAAAACACTCCGCTGCGCGACGTGTTTTGAAATATGTCGCGCGTGCTTTAAATCCCCTTTTATACACTTATATCATAATATACTATTATAGTTGTGTTTAAATTAAAATTGACATGCATGTGTTGAAGGCATCACCTGGTACACTACAATCTTGCCAAAATAGAAAACTATTGATGTTTTTATAGCTGAATACAGTTTTCGTTGGCTTTAGAACACATTTTAGTTGACTTTGTCCAATAATGACATGTCGGGCTTTGGTTGTAAGTTATATA